TAGGATTGTTTGTTCTAACTCTGTGAAAAATGCTGGTGGTATTTTAATAGGGATTGCATAAAATGTGTACTATGCTATGGGTAGTGTAGACATTTTAACGATATTTGTTCTTCCAATCCATGAGCATGAAATGTTTTTCTATTTCTTTGTGTCCTCTTAACTTTCTTTCTTTCATAAGCGTTCTATAGTTTTCAGAGTACAGACCTTTTACCTCTTTGGTTGGGTTTATTCTGAGGTATCTATTATTTCCATGTTTTTATTTAAATTCTAGTGAATTAACATATATGGTAAAATTGGTTTCAGGTGTAGAATTTAGTGATTCATCACTTACATATAACACCCAGTGCTCCTCACAACAAGTGCCTTCCTTAATACCCATCACCCATTTTGCCTACCCTCCACCACTTCCCTCCATTAACCCATGGTTTGTTCCTAGGTATCTTATAGTTTTTGGTGCAGTTGTAAAATGGTATCGATTCCTTGATTTCTTTTTCTCCTGCTTCATTATTGGTATATAGAAATGCAACAGATTTCTGTACATTGATTTTTATCCTGCAGCTTTACTGAATTTGTGTATCCGTTCTAGCAATTTTTTGGTGGAGTCTTTCAGGTTTTCTACATAGAGTGTCATGTCATCTGCAAATAGTGAAAGTTTGACTTCTTCCTTACCAATTTGGATGCCTTTTAATCCTGAGGTTAGGACTTCCAGTACTTTGTTAAATAGTAATGGTCAGAGTGGACATCCTTGTTCTGTTCCTGACCATAGAGGAAAAGCTCTCAGTTTTTCCCCATTGAGGATGATATTAACTGTGAGTCTTTAATATATGGCCTTTATGATGTTGAGGTGTGTTCCCTCCATCCCTACTTTCTTGAGGGTTTTTATCAAGAATGGATGCTGTACTTTGTCATACACTTTTTCTGCATCAATTGAGAAGATCATATGGTTCTTATCCTTTCTTTTATTAATATGGTGTATCATGTCGATTAATTGTGAATATTGAGCCACCCTTGCAGCCCAGGAATAAATCCCACTTGATCATGGTGAATGATTCTTTTCATGTACTGTCGGATTAATATAGCTAGTATTCTGTTGAGAATTTTTGTATCTATGTTCATCAGGGATATGAGCCTGTAATTCTCCATTTTAGTGGGGTCTTTGTCTGATTTTGGAATCAAGGTAATTCTGGTCTCAGAGAATGAGTTTGGAAGTTTTCCTTCCATTTCTATTTTTTGGAACAGTTTGAGAAGAATAGGTATTAACTCTTCTTAAAATGTTTGGCAGAATTACCCTGGGAAGCCATCTGTCCCTGAACTTTGGTTTGTCAGGAGATTTTTGATTATTCAATCAATTTCTTCGCTGGTTGTGGGTCTGTTCAAATTTTCTATTCCTGTTTCAGTTTTTCCAGTTTATATGTTTCTAGGAATTTATCCATTTCTTCCAGCTTGCCTAATTTGTCAGCATATAATTGCTCATAATAATCTCATATTTGTTTGTATTTCTCTGTTGTTGGTTGTAATCTCTCCTCTCTCCTTTGTGATTCTATTTATTTGGGTCCTTTTCCTTTTCTTTTTGCCAAGACTGGCTAGAGGTTTGTCAATTTTATTAATTCTTTCAAAGAACCAGCTCCTGGCTTCATTGACCTGTTCTACTGGGTTTTTTTGTTTGTTTGTGTATCATTTATTTCTGCCCTAATCTTTATTATTTCCCTCCTTATGGTAGCTTTAGGCTTCATTTGTTGTTCCTCTTCTAGCTCTTTTAGGTGTAAGGTTAGGTTGTGTATTTGAGATTTTTCTTGCTTCTTGAAGTAGGTTTGTATTCTTATATATTTCCCTCTTAGGACTGCTTTTACTGCATCCCAAAGGTTTTGGACTGTCATGTTTTCATTATTATTATTTCCATGTATTTTTTAATTTCTTTTTAATTTCCTGGTTGGCCCATTCATTCTTTAGTAGGATGTTCTTTAACCTCTATGTATTTGTAGTCTTTCCAAATATTTTCTTGTGCTTGACTTCAAGTTTCATAACATTGTGGTTGGAAAATATGCATGGTATGATCTCATTCTTTTTGTGCTTGTTGAGGCCTGATTTGTGACTCTATTATGATCTATTCTGGAGAATGTTCTATGTGCACTCAAAAAGAATATATATTCTGCTATAGGATGAAATGTCCTGAATATATCTGTTAAGTCCATCTGGTTCAGTGTGTCATTCAAATCCATTGTTTCCTTGTTGATTTTCTGCTTAGATGATCTATCCATTGGTGTAAGTGGGGTGTTAAAATCTCTACTATTATTGTATTATTATAAATTAGTTCCTTTATGTTTGTTATTAATTGTTTTATGCACTTGAGTGCTCCCAAGTTGGGGACATAAATATTTACAATTGTTAGATCTTCTTGTTGGATAGACTCCTTTGTTCTGATATAGTGTCCTTCTTCATCTCTTGTTACAGTCTTTATTATTTTATATATTTTTTAAAGATTTTATTTATTTGAGAGGGGGACGGAGAGGGACAAGCAGACTCCATGCAGAGTGCAGAGCCCAGTGTGGGGCTGGATCCCACAACCCTGAGAGCCAAAACCAAGAGTCAGATGCTTAAGTGACTAAGCCACCCGGTGCCCCTACAGTCTTTAGTTTAAAATCTAGTTTGTCTGATATAAGTATTATTACTCTGGCTTTCTTTTGACATCCATTAGTATGCTAAATGGTTCTCCATCCTCTCACTTTCAATCTACAGGTATCTTTAGGACAAAAATGAGTCTCTTGTAGGCAGCGTATAGATGGGTCTTGTTTTTTTATCCATTCTGACACCCTGTGTCTTTTGATTGGAACATTTAGTCCATTTACATTCAGAGTAATTATTCATAGATATGAATTTAGTGCCATCTTATTGTTTTTCATTTATTCTGGAGATTTTCTCTGTTCCTTTCTAGTCTTTGTCACTTAGTGTTTCCTTCCCACTCAGAGAGATGTTTCTTTTAATATTTCTGGCAGGGCGGGGCGCCTGGGTGGCTCAGTTGGTTAAGCGACTGCCTTCGGCTCAGGTCATGATCCTGGAGTCCCAGGATCGAGTCCCACATCGGGCTCCCTGCTCGGCAGGGAGTCTGCTTCTCCCTCTGACCCTCTCATGCTCTCTCTGACTCATTCTCTCTCTCAAATAAATAAAATCTTTTAAAAAAAAAATATTTCTGGCAGGGCAGGTTTAGTGGTCACAAACTCCTTTAGTTTTTGTTCATCTGGGAAACTGTCTATTTCTCTTTCTATTCTGAATGACAGACAGCCTTGCTGGTTAGAGCATTCTTGGCTGCATGTTTTTCCCATTCAGCACATTGAATATATCATGCCACTTTCTTCTGGCCTGCCAAGTTTCTGTGGACAGATCAGCTGCTAGCCTTACTCGCCTTCCCTTGTAAGTAAGGGACTTCTTTTGTCTTGCCGCTTTTAGGATTTTTTCTTTATCGCTGTATTTTGCACATTTAACTACTATATGTCTTGGTGTTGGCCTGCTTTTTAAAATTTTAATGGGAATTCTCTGTGCCTCCCGGATTTGGATGTCTGTTTCCTTTCCCAGATTAGGGAAGTTTTCAGCTGCAGTTTTCTCAAATAACCTTCTGTCCCCTTTTCCCTCTCTTCTTCTGGGACTCCTACGATAATGAATGTTAGTATGCTTTAAGGAGTTACTGAATTCCCTAAGTCTATATACATGATCTAATATTTTTCTTTCCCTCTTCTTTTCAGCTTCATTGTTTCTCATAACTTTACCTTTTATATCACTTACTCATTCCTCTGCTTCTTCCATCCTTGTGATCATTACATCCAGTCTGTTTCGAATCTCAGCTATTGCATTTTCTACTTTGGTCTGATTATTTTTTAGGTCTTTTGTCTCTTTGGTAAGGGACTCCCTGGTATCTTCTATGCTTTTCTCAAGTCCAGCTAGTATCTTTATGACTGTTGTTTTAAATTCTAGATCAGGCAGTTTACTTGTGTCTCTTTCAGTTAGATCCCTGACCATGACCCTTTTCTTGTTTTTTCTTTTGGGATGAATTCCTCCATCTTGGCATTTTGTCTAGGTCTCTGTCTTCTTTGTGTTAGGAAATCCTGTCTGTTTACGTCAGTTTATTGAAAATAATCTGACACATGTTTTGATATTCTAAAATTGTATGATTCTCAAGATCAGTGATTCTTATAATACAAGTTTATGACAAACCAAATGAAACCTAACATATGTGACATTTCATCAATGATATAACTTAAACGATTAAAAAAAAAATTCAGTGGGTTTTTATTGCAGTCAGTTCCCTCTGCTTCATGTATAAGTTGCTAAAACATTAAGAACAACTAAAATTACTAAAGAATAATAAAATTAAAAGAAAACATAAGACCCAATGGTCATGAAAATAATGAAATATTAAATAGAAAATTAGATTACTCTTTTTTGGGGGGGAAAAAAGACTTTAGAGATTTAAAGTTCTTCTATTATATTTCATGATTGGAATAGGAATGACAGCCACTCTTGGGTGGGGGTGGGGGAAGAAGTGGGAATGAGAAGATAGAAGCAAACAGTTGAAATTAACAATGGTAAATGTGCATCTTCAGAAATATAACTTAAATTTTAGACATCTAACACACATACTCTGGGAATACATTTAGCAAATAGTTTTATGTGTACTACACAGGATGAAAAATGGGTTTCTAGAATTCTCTTAAGAGTCTAAATAAAATATAAGCCCATGTAGTAATGAGTTCTGTGCTTGATTTCCAAATTCACTTCTAATGTTACAGAAGTTGTAATAATAAATAACCAACTTGCCAAGAAAGGAAAATTTATTTTTCAGTTAATTGTATTTGTGACTAATATTTGAAATAATATATACAAGTTTTGTTTTATTATGTTGTCATGGCTAAAACATACATGAAATCATTTTTATTTAAAACATAAGTGATAAAGTTTTTAAATCTTTTTTCCCTTCTTAATAAAGTTTTATTTTTTGTGTATTATAGACAAAAGGTTCTCAAACCATGACACCCTCTGGCACCCAGAAAAAAGTTAAGAGAACTCTGCCAAACCCACCCCCTGAGGAGACCTCCACAGGCACTCAGTCAACATATAGCACAGTGGGCACAGTTTCCAGGAGGAGGATCTGCAGAACCAACACAATGGCACGAGCCAAGATTCTCCAGGATATAGACAGAGAGCTTGATCTTGTAGAGAGGGAATCTGCAAAGCTGAGAAAGAAACAAGCAGAACTTGATGAGGAAGAAAAGGAGATTGATGCCAAGTTACGGTACCTGGAAATGGGAATTAACAGGAGGAAGGAGGCATTATTAAAGGAGAGAGAAAAGAGAGAGCGAGCCTACCTCCAGGGAGTAGCTGAGGATCGGGATTACATGTCTGACAGTGAAGTGAGCAGCACCCGACCAACCCGAATAGAAAGTCAGCATGGCATAGAGCGACCAAGAACGGCTCCCCAAACTGAATTCAGCCAGTTTATACCACCGCAAACCCAAACAGAATCTCAACTAGTTCCTCCTACAAGTCCTTATACACAATACCAATATTCTTCCCCAGCTCTTCCTACCCAAGCACCTACCCCATACACCCAACAGTCCCATTTTCAGCAACAGACTTTGTACCATCAGCAAGTTTCACCTTATCAGACTCAACCAACATTTCAGGCTGTTGCAACAATGTCCTTCACACCTCAAGCTCAACCTACACCAACCCCACAACCTTCTTACCAGTTACCATCACAGATGATGGTGATACAACAAAAGCCACGGCAAACTACATTATATTTGGAGCCCAAGATAACTTCAAACTATGAGGTGATTCGCAACCAACCCCTGATGATAGCACCTGTTTCTACTGATAATACATATGCTGTTTCTCATCTTGGGAGTAAGTACAATAGCTTAGACTTGAGAATAGGATTGGAGGAAAGAAGTAGCATGGCAAGCAGTCCAATATCAAGCATATCTGCAGATTCTTTCTATGCGGATATTGACCATCATACTCCACGAAATTATGTCCTAATTGATGACATTGGAGAGATTACCAAAGGAACAGCAGCACTAAGCACTGCATTTAGCCTTCATGAAAAGGATCTGTCAAAAACAGATCATCTCCTTCGATCCACTGAAACACGTAGGTCTCAAGAAGTGACGGATTTCCTAGCACCTTTACAGACTTCCTCCCGATTGCATAGTTATGTGAAAGCAGAGGAAGATCCCATGGAAGATCCCTACGAGTTAAAGCTTCTGAAACATCAGATTAAACAAGAATTCCGTAGAGGGGCAGAGAGCTTAGATCACCTTGCTGGGCTTTCCCATTATTACCATGCTGATGTGGGCTATAGACATTTTCCAAAATCAGAAAAGTACAGCATTAGTAGACTCACACTTGAAAAACAAGCAGCAAAACAACTACCAGCAGCCATACTTTATCAAAAGCAATCAAAACATAAGAAGTCACTAATTGATCCTAAAATGTCAAAATTTTCACCCATTCAAGAAAGTAGAGATCTCGAACCTGATTATTCAAGCTATATGACTTCTAGCACTTCATCTCTTGGTGGCATTTCCTCCAGAGCAAGGCTTCTTCAAGATGACATCACTTTTGGCCTCAGAAAAAATATTACAGACCAACAGAAATTTATGGGGTCATCTCTTAGCACAGGGCTGGGCACATTAGGAAATACCCTAAGGTCGGCTTTGCAGGATGAAGCAGATAAGCCATATAGTAGTGGCAGCAGGTCCAGACCTTCTTCCAGACCTTCTTCTGTCTATGGCCTTGACTTATCAATTAAAAGAGATTCTTCCAGCTCTTCCCTAAGACTGAAAGCTCAAGAGGCTGAAGCTCTAGATGTTTCCTTTAGTCATGCATCACCTTCTGGCAGAACTAAGCCGACCAGCTTACCAATTAGCCAGAGTAGAGGAAGAATACCAATTGTGGCCCAAAATTCTGAAGAAGAAAGTCCACTCAGTCCCGTTGGCCAGCCAATGGGAATGGCCAGGGCTGCAGCTGGACCCCTCCCACCAATATCTGCAGACACCAGGGATCAGTTTGGATCAAGTCACTCATTGCCTGAAGTTCAGCAACACATGAGAGAAGAATCACGAACTCGAGGCTATGACCGTGACATAGCGTTCATCATGGATGACTTCCAACATGCCATGTCAGACAGTGAAGGTAAATTGGGCCTCACACTACCTTGTTACTCTCAAAACTCAAACTCTTGTTTTTCTGCATGTTTAATTTTCCTTCTCCAAGGATGTATTCTACTTTTCTTAGTGCGTCTTTTGCATGTTTACTTCAGTTTTATTTCTTGTAAATGGAAATTTGATCTTGTGTATAGATTTCCTAGCATGCTTTTCTTTATTTCTCTTTAGTTTATTCTTTTATTGTTGTTTCTTGATTGCTTGCTTGATTTGTTTGATGTCCACTTTTCTAAAACCATTATCAAGTAATTGTGTCAATAAAATATGGTCATCCTTTAAATCCATAGTTGGAAAGTTTGTCATTGTATGTTTCTTTTATCTTTTAAAAATGCATTTCTAAATATATTGGTCAGTTTCTTTCAGTTTGTGAAATTATTAATATTTAGAGCCATTAAGTACTATTCTGCTAGACTTTGTAATAGAAAATTATTTATGTTATTTTTGTGATATCGTTGTTCATTAATTCAGAGAATGTTCTATTTTTGAGAATCTTTGGCTAAATCCCTGATATTAGTGTAATGTAGAATTTTATAATTCTCCTTAAATAAAGGATTAATATTTTTATTTCTCTCACTATGAATACCATAATTGAAAAGTTTGTGCATTTTGCATTACATACTAGAAAGGTTAGCACTAAATATGATACTGACAAAAAATAATCGTGTCAGTACACAGGAAACATTCTTTAGATTTAGAATCAAAAATTTGCTCACTACTTTTGTGAGTTTAACAAGCTGAGCCCTCCTGGTTGGTGTACCCATACAGGCTTTCCCTTGGCTTTGCTTTTTGCATCATCCTATTTTTTTATCCTAAATTGTTTTGCTAGTTTTTCTTTGAATAAATGATTTAAGGCAAGTATATACCTTAATTAAAAACTGGCTTATGATAATTTTGTTGTTGTTGTTGAATCATATAGAATGATAGGATTTTAGAAAATTATCTACTCTAAATATAATAGTGAAGGCAAGGGAGGAGAGGTAAAAGGTTATATAGAGTCCTTTCCATGCCAGAAGCACTCATGACTTTTGGTCCTCTTTTTTCCCCTCCCTCTATGGTTTACATTTGAATGTAGGTGCGGTTTGAGTCCTGGAAATAAAATATTTCTCACTGAATACAAATATTATTACTTCATGCCTTTGAAGACTACAGAGCACTAAACTAACATGAACAACAGCCCTTTTAAATCTGACATTTTCCCTGAGGATTCACAGGAAAATAAGTGTTTATGAAAAGAATTTTCTACTTCTATATATAGACACTAATGCAATTTTAGAAGTTCAAATCTAGATTTGAATAGGATTAAGATAAGTCACTGGATCTGAAAGTGGACAGATTCCTTTTCTTAGTGAAATCCCAACAGACTTGTTCCTTTCTGATTTATTTTCTTCTCTACAGGTTATTGGATTGACCATTTTTATTGATAATTATTCAATTAATAAAGCACTTCATTTGTATATTTTTTTATTTAGTCAATTGTTTGTATCTCTCTAGTTAAACAAGAGTTAGGATATTATGTGGAAACAGTTTTTTTCTTTTTTCACAATCCACATTTTACACACATTTTATACATATAAAACAATTGCTGCAGAGGAATAAAAAGACTCTTCAATAATCACATTGGTAAAATAACAAGATAAAACAAAAACTTCAACAGGTTTGTTGTATAACTAAACACCTAAGGCTGTGTGTGCACATGGAGCATATATTTGAGAGAATTTGACAAATTCATTTATTCATCATGGATGTTTTGTCAACATGGTGTCAGACATTTAGATTTTTCTAGATATTCCAAAATGTGGTATTTATTTACATACAACCATATAAAAATAACCAAATGTTTTATTTCTCATTGATATGTTTGGAAGATGTATACTTCTAATCATTAAGGACTGTATGAAAAACATTGTTTTCATAAAGTAGATGATGACACATCATGCAACATACAAAATTATGAAATGTATAAAGATTATACCAAAGAAATAAATAATTAAAGTGAAATTTAGATGAAATTACACAGTTAAACTAAAACATATTTAAAAATTAACCAGATAAGAAACTTAGTCATAAAGAACATACAGATACAGAATTAGACAAAGGACAACTATAACAAATTGAATTATATATGTAATATTATGTGTGTGAATTGTAGTGATTATCTTTAAAAGTTATAGTTTTAAAATGTTACTTTTTTTTTTTTTTTTTTTTTGCTTTTAAATCACCTGAACATACTACTTTTCTTCTGGTAAAGCAATGGCCTACTTTTCTTTTGAAATCTTGGGATTCCTTGGGTTATTAAGGGAAAAAGTAGAAAATATTTTTCCTAATTACATAGCTCATTTGTGAACTCATGAAATACAAAGAGTTTTTTAAATAAATTTTTACCAAATATATGCCATATCTGTAATTCAGTGATACAAAGATCACTCTGAGAAGTGTAACATTCCAACAGGCTATTTAGTATTGGGTAGACAAAAACAAATTTAACTGTCTTCAAATTGTTGTGTGCTTTCTTTGAATTCAATTAAACTCTAATTTATAGATTCTTAGGATATTTTTCATATGTGTTCTATATGACTTTAGTTAATTTTGAAATAGCTCACTTGAGGTAAAGTCTAGATAAGCATAATTTACATTGCTTAGTATTTATGGCCATCATCTTGAAGTCCACAATTTGATATGCATGCATGGTTGGTTAACTACAGAGCAGGAAGCCCTTTTTTGGAGCAGATTTGGAGGAAAACTAAGCTAAAAACATGTTATATTTATTTCTACAAACACAAATATTTTGTTGAAAACATTCTCTCAAAGTATACTCCAAGCCAAAAAAAAAAAAAAAAATCAGTATAGTCTCTTTTAAAAAAATTTTCAACCAATTTTTGACACTGAATAGAACTGAACTATTCCTATAACTTTGAATAATGCTTCACCCGAAAATAGCATACTTTTATTTTACATACAAGCTTTCAAGAAAATATCATCAGTTTAAAACAAGGAGATGTTAATCTCCAGGCAATTATTTAAGTTAATTTGGAAAATTTTATAAAATTCAATTTTTTTTTTAAATTCAATTTTTAAAGTACAGATCTATCATGGCAGATCAGATAATTGCAGTTATAACTAACATTTATGTCCAATTTCCTATAAATTATGAAGACAGAATACAACTTAAAAGTAGATTCATTCACTCTGGTTGCACTTGATTGATCTATAAACTTTTATGCAAAACATGACAGACATCCTAACTTAATTACTTATTGAGTTATTGTAAGAAATAGTAGACAAAGTATGTAATCAGAAACAAATTGACAGAACTTGGATCAGGTTGAGATTCTGCTTTATTTGTATAGACATAGCCAAGAAAACATGACTTAAAGGATTGTTTCAAGTGCAATTAGCAAAGTTATATATTTAAGTGAAATCATATACTACATAATCCAAGATATGCATTTATTAAAATCAATATAGATTATTTTTTTCATGAGAAATAAATAATAAGAATATGTAAGAAGTAAAATAAGATAGTGTTACTATGGTTGGGGATAGTCAGTTAAAGTTTTTAAGAGACCAATGATTACATTATAAATTTGTTTGGTATTTACTTATCAAATTTCATTACATTAAATATTTTTTCATAAGTTTAGTTTTTTAGTGTCAAATTAAAACTATGAAAAACCATAATATATTATCATGGAGATTGTGAGTCAAGATTGTATAAATATTAATGAAGTTCAAGGGACAAATTAATATTTTTTTAATATGTATATCATAATTAGGGTATTTAACTTCTTTCTCTAGTTGATGATTAATTTTTCTGTTTCATTCATCTCCCAAACATTTATTGAATGTTATGGCATTTGCAAGGCATTGTTTTTAGTGTTGAGGGAGGAGGAAAAAAAAGATCTGAGCCTTATCCTCAAGCAGTTTAGAAGCTCCTATTAGAGATCAGATAAGCGCACATACAACCACAAACCAGGTATGTAATATTGCATTTCCTCAAATTGAAGAATGACTAAATTATGACACATCATCAATCATCATATTTATTTGGGGGACATGCTGTGGTTAATCAGAGGAGGTGACCACAGGACCAAGATCACAGGAGTTATGGAGGTGAGTAGTGGTGTATATGCTATGGGTTTGCCAGTCCTACCAGCAAAAATGTAATGGAAATTGCCTGGCAAAAAATGTGTTGGGAAGTTTTGGAAGAAAAGATAATCAAGGATATAGGCATAAAAAGAAACCTATGATGAGTTAGAAGAACTCAAAACTATGGTTTTGTAGATGCTAGAATTTCAAGAAAGCCTAAGTTGGTAACACCATCAACAAATCTTTCAGGATGAGAACTTGAGAAGGGCTGCTCCATCTGCCATTTAGAAAGCAACAGTGTAGGGCGCCTGGGTGGCTCAGTCGGTGAAGCGACTGCCTTCGGCTCAGGTCATGATCCCAGAGTCCTGGGATCGAGTCCCACATCGGGCTCCCGGCT